ACTCTGCCTGTTGAATTCTATTGCCTCCTTTTAAGGTTTTATTTGCTTGTTCGCCATTTTCTGGCTTCTCTTATTCTATCTGGGAAAAGTTATTTTACAACACTCGTGTGCGTGTGCACACACACACCTATTCAGCTTAGTCAAATAACTGCAACAATCACTTTTTTAGCTAGTCTCAGAAACTAAGAGTATGTCAAGTGCTTTACATACATTATTTCATTTAATTCTTAAAATCTCACAAAGTAGGTAACACCATTTAATGAACAAATAAAACTGAACCTCAAAAAATTACATAATGAGTCCAATGTCACACAATCAGTGGATGGTAGAATTGGGACTTGAACCTAGGTCTATAGACCACCAAAACTTATGCCACCTAATTTTTATAAATTTTCTGCTATCTGTAACAGATCCTATACAGGTCTTCCTAAAGTACTTTTATTCATGCAACAAATATGAGTGACTATACGTCTTTAAAATTTCTGTAGATATACTTTTAACAGCTCCTTTCTTGTACTATTTTTGCAACTGGAAAGCTGCATACTGTGCACTTTTTTACCCTTTACTTCCTCTCATTAAATGTCAAATTTAATCATGTTATGATTACTATCAGGTAGTGGTTCAGCCACGGCTATTTCCTGCCCCAGTTCCTGTTCACTACCTAGAATGAGATCCAGCATATTTTCATTCCTAGTGCTCTAAAACTACCTGTTCTAGGGAGCAGTCAGGTTTTCTCACCTGAACATTTATTTCTATCTTTAGTGTCACGTTAGCAATTTGCATAAGACTAACAAGGTGGACTAAAAATGCAGCTTTCCTAAATGTCACTTAATATTTTCTACTTAATCATATGATTCTGGTCATCAAGCGATGTTTCAGATTTGTAAATTTAACCTGAGTATTTATGGTTCTGCATTAATCTGAGAAGACAAAAGCATGCGACTTTCTCAGATTTTCAAGGGCAATCCCAATTTAAAACACACTGGGGCCAGGCATGGTGGTTCACATCTGTAATCCTAAGACTTTGGGAGGTCAGGGTGGGAAAATTACTTGAGGTCTCTAGCCTGGCCAACTTAGCAAAACCCTGTATCTACAAAAAAATAAAAATTAAAAATTAGCTGGACACAGTGGCACATGCCTGCAGGTCTAGCTACTCAGGAGGTTGAGGCAACCTGAGCCTGCGAGTTCAAGGTTACAGCTGGAAGACAGAATAAGACCCTGTCTCAAAATAAAAATGTTTGATTCCACTATCATGTATCAAGTAGGAGTTAAGAAAAGACAGTCAAAATAAATGCAAATGGAAGTTTGCAATAATGACTCCATGTGGCTACAGACCAGGTAAAGGGGTTAAGGGATGGCAACAGTCACTTTGGGTTTCTTCCTTGAGTCTTAATTTGCACTGGGAAAATAAGTAGTGAAGGTAAATGATAAATAAACATGGAATAATGGACAAACTGTTGAGGTTCTTCTATAATTTTAGTATCTAAGTATGCAATTTCTGATCATCAAAACTGGGTGGTACTCACTTTGCCCAACCACATTTATATACCATTATCATTTAAAGCTGGTCTTCACACATATATTTTATATAAAGTTACAATAACCATTCCCTCAACAATCCATATTTCTGTTATGAGACTTCGCCTCTTCCTGTTCTGCATAGAATGCCCTCTTTCCCCATCTATGAACACCACCTCCGGACCTTTCAGGCTTCAATGGTAGCTCCCCTCAAACTCAACCAGTTCTCTCTTAAAATTATTTACTGTTTCTTTTTCTTTTCTTTTTTTTTGAGATGGAGTCTCACTCTGTCAGCCAGGCTGGAGTGCAGTGGTGTGATCTCGGCTCACTGTAGCCTCAATCTCCCAGGTTCAAGCAATTCTCCTGCCTCAGGCTTCCAAGTAGGTAGGACTTACAGGTGCATGCCACCATGCCCAGCTAATTTTTTTTGTTTTTTGGGTTTTTTTCTTTTTTTCTTTTTTTTTTTTTTGTATTTTTAGTAGAGACAGGGTATCACCATATTGATCAGGCTGGTCTTGAACTCCTGACCTCGTGATCCACCAGGGACGGCCTCCCAAAGTGTTGGGATTACAGGCGTGAGCCACCACACCCGGCTTGACTGTATTTTGACTGTAATCTATCACATGAGGTCAAGTGTCTTGTAGCATCATCTTGGTACTCAAAAAGTTTCAGATTTTGGAGCATTTCAGATTTTCAGTTTACAGATGCTCAATCTGTATACACTGTATCGTATTATCATCATTTGTTCAAATATCCATCTCTCCCACCAAATGGATGCTCCTCAAATACAGAGAAGGTGACTCCATCCCTTTACCTTCAGCAACATCCAACAGTGCCTACATCTCAAAGTATTATTGTGTACAACAGTGGATTCAATTTATGGTTTTGCAGCATTATTTTCCACTCAGTAGTATCCTACTATAAAGTCTCCAAGAAGCCAATTATACTGTGACAATACAGTATAAGGGCTTGGAATGCAGGCTTTGAAATCAGACTGCTTAGGTGTGAACCCCACCTCTACTGACTCATTCTCTACTGACTCGAGAAGAAATCTCGAACATATGAGTTAAACTAAGTCTTGATTTGCTTATCTATAAAATGACGGTAATCAGTACCCATCTCACAGGACTAAAAGGTTAAATAAGATAATATACAAGTAGTCCAACTATTTTGATTCTCATTTTATCCACATGCCACCCTAAATTCTCTTCAGTGTAGTGATGTTTTTTTCATTACAAATTCCTTCCAATTTTGCATTAAATGGACCGCCAAAAAGGTTCATGCTTTACAAATTGGGCGAGCCATTATTTTTAGGACCAACTGTCCAGTGCCAGTTTGGGCTCAAAAAAAGTCTACTCTTGGAGGCTTGACTATGCAAGAGTGCCCCCACTGTATACCATACTTGTTTACTGACCACATTTTCATGCTGTACCAGAAAGTGGTCAAAATTAGAACACGAAAACTCTCTACCTCATTAACACCTAACTTAAAACTATCAGACGCATTCAGACAGCTAATCTGTGTGGGAGGCAGGCTATTTCTGGAGCAAAAAAAAAATTCCTGGAACCACTGTGCGTCTGGTCCCAGACACGGCTCATTCTCCCCAGACCTCCAGATTCCTCTCCTCCAGGTTATGGAGGTTGAGCCACTACAACCGATAAAGCATATCCATTTCCTTCTCTTAAAATTTGCAGTCCATACACCATATCCAAATTAGGATTTCAAATTGTTATGCTAGTTTATGGCCCTTTAGGCTAAAGTGTACAGTTTCCAAATTCTCAGAATTCCCCTTCCAATATTAAAAATATGGTGAAAAAGGCCCAGTTTGAAAGAAAACAAACTTTACAAAAATACCTGAAAACAAGATCACATAGTAAGTCTCTAGCCAATGTCTTGGAGGAAAAAAAAAGATACAAACGTTTAAAAATGGCAAAAGCTAACCAAAAGCTGTAAAATCAAAGTATCACACCTAAAAATTAGTCTAAACGTAAGCACGATATACTATTAACAAAGAAAGCAACTGAAAACTACAAAATAATATTCACCATGAATTTCAAATTACTTGGCACGTAAAATACACACTGAGATTAATAAATTGTTCCAGATCCTGTACTTCCCAGGTTAGTATAAAGCAGTTCCTTGTTTTTGCCAGGCTAAAAATAAAAAGGGTGACTGATAGTGACAGAATAATCCCTAAAGTTACACAAGGAGGTGCTGAGTTAGAAAGCCATAACTCGAAGGACAATACCAGAACGCCGGCTGTCAACATTGGGCAGATAAAAATAAGAAAAGATGTAGCATGCTGACGGAGCAGGGCATTGTTTCCAGACGGGAAATATCCCTTAAGGCCGGTGCCTAGTATCTCAGTACCCGCTCGGTAATGTTGGGAGCAGAAAACTCGACCGCCGCCTGCTCAGAGGGGGCAGGGCAGCGACCCTCCTTCCACCTCCTCCAGCGCGCGAGCCACCGCCCCCTCCCGAGCCCGCTCCTCCGGCCGCTAGCCGACCTCTCCCCGCCCGCCGGGCTCGCCACCCGAGACCCCTGAACGCTCTTCCAGGACCCGACGACCCCTCAGCACAGCGCCAAGGAAAGGAAGCAAAGGACAGGGGCCTGGGAGCGGGGCCGGAGGGGCGGGCGGCGGTGCTGGGCTTCGGCCCGTCACCATTAAGGTTTGAAGACCGCGCGGGCTCGGGAAGAAGGCGGCTGAGCCTTCGCCAACGGCCGAATGAGGGGAGGGGGCCGTGGCGGACCCTGGCCCCTCAGCTACTGAGACTGCTTGGAAAGTCACCCGCCGCAGGCGGCGACGCGTTGGCCCGGGAGCCCCCACCTCCATCCTGACAACCGCTCTCCTCCCTCGTCCTGATCCAGCCTCGAGATTCTGTCAGAACTCGATGACCTCCACACGGCCCACCCGAGCGCGGAGGTGATGCCGCTCTTACCGTAGGAGCAGGCGCCGCGCCGCTAGGAGGCGGCTGAGGTGTGCGCGGGAGACACCGAAGCTAGCGCCGCCGCCACCAGAGCCCGAGGAGCTACAACGAGGCTCACGGCGGGCGCGCTGCCTCCAAAGCGTTGCCCCACCCCCTCTCCCGCAGGATTTTGCGCCGGTGCCTGCAGTCACTGCGCGCGGGCGGGGAGGACTGGAGAAGGGGTGGGGCACCCCGAGGGGGCGGAGCTGAGCGCAGGCTTGGTCTCATTAACATCTGTAGGCCCAATGGGAGCACGGAAACTCCAGGCTGAGCTTGGACTGACTTCCCTCCTAACCCGTGACAGTGGAGAGGCGGGACCAATGGCTTCTTTTATTGCCGCCTTTCTGTCGAATCTGAATGTAAGGAAAGGTCGGTTGGTTTGCACTGGCGGACAAATGGTCCAATTGAAGCGAGAAAAGGGGCCTCTGAATCCAGATTGGCGTCCTCTCTACCTATAGAGTAGACTCAGGGGCGGTGAGAACCAGCCCCGGATGTGGGCGCGGCCCTGAGGTAGAACGGTGAGATCCTCTACCGCGGTGGGTTGGGGAGGCGGAACTGAAATTTTTTTCGTAATTATCATGTGACGGGTTCTGGATTTAATGGGGGGAAAAGTGCGGAAAAGGACAAGGATCCACACTGGCGAATTTCCTGATCTTCGCGCCCGTCCCCGCTGTCCCGCCGGCAGCGTTGCCAGGTGAGTCCAAGGCTCTGCCCTAGCCCGCACGGTGCACCTGAGCTGGCCTCCGGATTCCTCCGTGGGCTGTGCGGCCGACCCCCAATCCATCACACAGCCAGCCCCAAACGCGCACACACCTTCTTGGTTCCAGGGCTTCTGTGACCATCCAGCAGGAACCGTGTTAAACTTCAACGTGTGCTGGGCCCACAGCCCATAAACGGGGGACGTCTGGGTGGGGCGCCGTGAGCCGACCATCGGTGTTTGCAGAAGGGCAAGGATAGTTTAGGAACGTCCTGAAGTTCCAGAGGCAAGTAGGCCCCCAGATCAGCGAAGTTGTAAGCAGAACGCTGTTCCTTTGGCCGAGGCTGTTGCAGCACGGGCTTTTCGAAGTTGACTCACTAGGAATAATTTTTGGGCTCATGAAGCAAAATTACCTTTGGGATCAGGCAGGCTCACTTGGTAGAGTACTGGCAGTGGCGAGAGAAGGGAAATGGGGGCTGATACTCAGACGCAGGCAATGTCGGTAGGGCTCTATATATTTCCACACGGGGGTAACTCCGAAGGTTTTAAAAATGAATTAAGAATCATTGACAAATACGTAACTGTCTTCCTAATGCCAGAAATAACCACCTTAAATGGGAAACATTTTAGTTGAGCACATTTTTGGAGTACGCACTTCCACCTCTCACGTGAAGAGAATAGCCGGAAACATAACTACTGCCTAAATTGATGAAGACGTAAATGTAAAATTGGGGTCGTATGTCGTCGTCGTAGTTCAGTATGCAAGCATACAATCCTTCAGTCGTCATTTAAGTATCAGCAGTGCTTCCCCATTGAGGGTATTTTCGTGCAAGAACATAACATAATTTTCTGGCATCCCACATTATACATCTTACAGGAACGATAAGATTGTTACTTGCATCCTTTCACCTCCAGCCCTAAAACCATGGTGAGTGCAGCCAATCATAAGGAAAAGAATGAAGCTTGTCTTATCCGATGGCAGATGGAAAAGTAAACCTTTTTTTTAGAGGTTCATAGAAACGGCCAGATTGATTGGAGATGGGGATTGTGCAGTTTACAGGATGAAATCCATCCATGGTTATTAACACAGACTCCTCCAACCCTGCTTCCAAATTCAGCCACACATCCCACTATATGGCAGCCTTTGGCCAGGACAGGAAACCAACACAGAAAAATTACTCCTTAGGAGCAAAAAGTACTGCAGTATGAAGCCTCTGCCAATTAAGTAAATAAGTTTAACTGCCACTAGATGGATATAAGGGGAAAGAGGTGAGTTAGGAGACTGATACTTAATTGTTGAAATAAAACAGATGTGTTCTCTTGCACAAGAATAGCCACCATTTAAAGTAGTATAGATGTTGCACAGTACATCAAGATTGGTTCTAAAATATAGTTAATTGAGCACACTAATCTAGGGCATTTGGCTCATTTAGCCAATTTCTTCACCTTTTCCTTCTTCACCCTTCCTTCCTGCATCTTTCCTTCTACCTTGCATGCTTTTGTTCCTATCCCTAGCACCTTCTGATCTTTTTCTCTTTCTGTCCAGTGTCCTCTCTCATATTCAGTGTCATTCCCCATTGCCTTATTTCTCTGTTTATAGTCGTAATTAAATTCTTCCTTTCCTGAAAATTTCTTCTTTCAGTTTCATATACCTCACCTTTCATTTTCTCTTCTCCACATGACTCAAAGGAATAAAATGTTCTCCACTGTTTCCATTTCTGGATCTTCTGTTTACTCCTTAACCAACTGCATTCAGTCTCTGGCTTCTGATTTCCCATTCTACTTATCCTTTTTCCAAATAGTCATAAAGATTAGTATAATAAACTTGAATAAGCGAGGAACATGTCATAAATCTATATGTGAAGATTAAATATAATAAATGCTATCTCTAAGTTTTATGCATTCACAATCAAAATCCCAAGTTTTTAAGAATCAGCAAATTTAGCATTAGCGCAAAATAGAAAATATTCTATACCTGAATGGAACCTTAGAGGAAAAAAACTGAAAATATTCTAGAAAAGAGGCGGACACTTTGGGAGGCCGAGGTGGGTGGGTCACCTTAGGTCAGGAGTTCGAGACCAGCCTGGCCAACTTGGTGAAACCCTGTTTCTACTAAAAAATGCCAAAAATTAGCTGGGCTTAGTGGTGGGCTCCTGTAATCCCAGCTACTCAGGAGGCTGAGACAGGAGAATCGCTTGAACCCGGGAAGCAGAGGTTGCAGTGAGCTGAGATTTTGCCATTGCACTGCAGCCTGGGCAACAAGAGTGAAATCCCATCTCAAAAAAAAAAAAAAAAAATCTATACCACAAACCAGTGAGAGTATTGTTAAAAGAAAATATATATGTTAAATCAGGAAATGTAAGAATTTTTATGAGAAAATAAGTGAGAATTTAAGAATGTAAGTTCCAAATTATGTGAAAATCCAGTGTTATCAATGACTTTTATATTATTTAGCCCAACAACCTCTTTACAATCTTTTTGTTTTCCTTTTTTGAGACGGCTGGGGGTGTCTCACTCCATCACCCAGGTTGGAGTGCAGTGTGCAACACAGCTCACTGCAGCCACAACTTTCCGGGTGCAAGTGATTCTCCCACTTCAGCGTCGCAAGTAGCTGGAAATACAGGCATGTGCTACCGTGCCTGACTAACTTTTTGTATTTTTAGTGGAGATGGGGTTTTGCCATGTTGCCCAGACTGGTCTTGAACTCCTGGGCTCAAGAGATGCACCTGCCTTGGATTCCCAAAGTGTTGGTACTACAGGCGTGAGCCACTGTGCCCAGCTACTAAAATCTTAATTCTACTTGATATCCTTGTGATTTTTATTAACCATTCCCTCTTTTTATTGATGGATTGATTGATGGAGACAGGATCTCACTCTGCTGCCCAGGCTGGAGTGTAGTGGCATGATCTCATGGCTCTCTCATTGTAGCTTCGACCTCCTGGACTTAAGCAATCCTCCCACTTCAGCCTCTCAGTAGCTGTGACTACCACCACGCCTGGCCAGTTTTTTATTTTTTGTAGAGACAGGGTTTCACTCTGTTGACCTGGCTCCTCTGTAGCTCCTGGGCTCAAGTGATATGCCCACCTTGGCTTCCCAAAGTACTGGGATTACTGGCATGAGCCACACACTCTTCCCATTCCCTCCTCTTAAAACTCTCTTCTCAGCTTGATATCACCTCTACCCTTTTCACTACTTTGAATGTTTTTTTCTTTGTACCCCTTGAAATTGAATGAAAAATTACAGATTTGCAAATGTAGAGGAAGATTAAGAGCATCTTTGCAGTGCAGGAATAAAGTCATAAGTGCCTGGACTCCAGTGATAGCACTGAAAAGGAATCACCTGACATTCTGAATAGAGCTCATACTGGGGATTTGCTAAAAATTGTACTTTGTCATGGGCTGTAGGGAATAGTGGATATAATGTCAACAATCACTGTAAGTTTTATAGGATTTGAAAGGAAGAGTGGTAGAATGTTAGAATGTTTTCACAATTAGGAAGTCAGTTGGGAAAGAGCCAGCTTTGTTCACTAGGAATGGAAGTGATTTATTTTTTCTGGTATCAAAACAATCTTGACTTTTTCTCCTTCTCTTAGGGTATATTTCCTTTTTTTCGATCCTGCAACAGCCTCTTTAAACTGTTTAAATGAGAATGTCCTTGGCTCAGAGAGTACTGCTCACCTGGCTTTTCACGTTACTCTTCTTGATCATGTTGGTGTTGAAACTGGATGAGAAAGCACCTTGGAACTGGTTCCTCATATTTATTCCAGTCTGGATATTTGATACTATCCTTCTTGTCATGCTGATTGTGAAAATGGCTGGGCGGTGTAAGTCTGGCTTTGACCCTCGACATGGATCACACAATATTAAAAAAAAAGCCTGGTACCTCATTGCAATGTTACTTAAATTAGCCTTCTGCCTCGCACTCTGTGCTAAACTGGAACAGTTTACTACCATGAATCTGTCCTATGTCTTCATTCCTTTATGGGCCTTGCTGGCTGGGGCTTTAACAGAACTTGGATATAACGTCTTTTTTGTGAGAGACTGACTTCTAAGTACATCATCTCATTTCTATTGCTGTTCAACCAGTTACCTTTAAAGTGTTCTGAATCTTTTCAAGTTTCATGAATACCAGAAAACTGAGGGAAAATACCAAATATAGTTGTATACTACTTCCATAAAACAGAATTGGTGAATCGTGGACTTCTGCTCAGCCTACAGCTTAATTATTCAGCATTTGTTATTGAAATCTTTATTATCTCTATGTAAATAAAGTTTCTTTTGGACCTCATTTTTCTACATGACTCTTGAATAATATGTTGTATGTGGTCAGTATCTAAAGTAAGTAAATATAAAACCTTTAACCTACATGTTTGGGCTGGGTGCGGTGGCTCACACCTTGTAATCCCAGCACTTTGGAAGGCCAAGGCTGGTGTATCAGGAGTTGGAGACCAGCCTGGCCAACATGGTGAAACCCCATCTCTACTAAAAGTAAAAAAAATTACCCAGGCGTAGTGGCGGGGCACCTGTAATCCCAGCTACTCAGGAGGCTGAGACAGGAGAATCGTTTGAACCAGGAGGTGGAGGTTGCACTCAGCCAAGATTGCACTACTGCACTCTGTCCTGGGCGACAAAGCGAGACTCTGTCTCAAAAAAAAAACACAAACAAAACCTACATGTTTGAATAGAAGTTTAATATACTATGGCTCTATTATGACCAAATAAATGGACATATGTGTTTCTAAATTATGAAAGAAAAAAACTAGTGACTGAAACAGAGATGCCACTTTGTATTTACATTCAGAAAGAAACTAAGTTTGATAGATTCTTATTTAGGCTAAGTTCACTATTTCCTCTGCCTTCTGATTGGGACAAATAATTCAGAGGTGGCATGTTAAAACAGAGCAGAAAGGCCGGGAACAGTGACTCATCCCTGTAATCTCAGCACTTTGGGAGGCTAAGGCGGGCAGATCACAAGGTCAAGAGATTGAGACCATCCTGAACAACCTGGCAAAACCCCATCTCTACTAAAAATACAAAAATCACCTGGGTGTGGTAGCGGGCATCTGTAGTCCCAGCTACTCGGGAGGCTAAGACAGGAGAATCATTTGAACCTGGGAGGCTGAGGTTGCAGTGAGCCAAGATCGAGCCACTGCACTCCAGCCTGGTGACAGAGCGAGACTCCATCTCAAAAAAATAAAAAATAAAAAAAAAAAAGCAGCAGAAACTTGCCACTTCCTAAAGTTAGAGGTACCTTATAATCCTGATTCTGTCAGGACAGGCCCAGTTTATGCCTATAGTCCTGGGGTCTCAAGGAATTAGTGCCCCTCTTGCTCTTAGAAGTATCTTAAATTAAGAGAGCATATGATCACCCTACCAAGGTACTAATCAATTCCAATGAAACAGAGGTGGCAGCACTTACAAAAAATTCCAAAGAGGTTGAAGTGTCTTATAGCTGAAGCACAATGATTGTTCTTACCCTATACAACCCTCACTTTTAGCTGTGAGAGAAATCTGAAGTGGCTTTTCTGTTTTAAAAAAAATCAAACGAAAAGTGATTTCTGGCTACTGAAACAGGTCTAGTTCTCCCTTGTAATGACAGATAACATAAGTTTCACAACAGCAGATTAATACAGCTTAACTCACTAAGCATTTGAAACTAAAGAGCGAGGCTAAATAAATAAAAATAACTGCAAATGTTTTCATCTTATAATTGGCAATAATATTTTTGGTATGTAAAAATAGGATACAGAATAGTTAGTACTGGGAACTGAATGTTCCAGGCTTGATCAGATACCTCTAACTCAATTGAGAGATCCATGCCTTGGTTTATGGAATCATTAAATAAATTCAAAGTAAAAGAAGGCTGACATCTCTGAAAAACCAGCTAAGAGGATTTTGGAGTACAGGAAAAAGGAAAAGAAGGGATGGCACCATGTGCAAACAATCAGCTAGGCCAGGAGTCAGCAAAATTTATCTGTAAAGGGCTGCTCAGTAAATAGTTTAAGCTTTGTAAGTGATACGATTTCTTTTGCAATTACTCAACTCAGTCCTTATGGCAGAAAAAGCAGCAATAGACCATGGCTGTATCCCAATAAAACCTTATTTTTTCATGGACACGAAATTTAAATTTCAAAAGATTTTCACATCACAAAATATAATTTTTACTTTTGTTTCAACCATTTAATGCCATAAAAACCATTCTTGCCTCACGCACCATAGAAAAACTGGCAGTGGGTTAGATACGACCTGATTTGCTGACCCCTGTGCTAGGCAATAAAAGCAGAAAGAAATTCTGTATGAGATGTGAAAAGGAAAGGTGGAACAGGTCTCTTGCTCCTGCAAACAGTTCTACAAGGAAGGAAGAGAGAAATTAGGTAAGAATTGTATGTAAACAGCAACACAATAACCAACCTGTTTACACATGAGGGTCAATGAATTTTAACAGCATCTGAAGGATTCCCAGAAAGAACTGCCACACTAAAACACTTGAAGCAGCACAATAAGTGATCATGGATGTGTGCCTCAGTACATACATCTGCATTAAAACATTAAGTAATGAAGACATTAAAGATAGAAATCGTGCTTCCAAGTAGAAAAATCAAAACAGATGGACTAATATGTAAACAATTAGTATTGTACAAAAATACATTCCTAGGTTTTAGTTATAGGATTCTTCCTTTGTATTACAGAGATATTTACTAATGATGTTTATTAAGATTAAACACACAATGCCTCATGAAACTTAAACATCAGAGGCTTTTACCAAAGCCGTTTTTTTTCTAGGTTAGCATGGATGTAACTTACTCTGGTTTGGGCAAAAGATTTGTTATCAACAATCAGAGTAAAAGCAACCTGTACACAAAAAAACTTCTTATAAGACTTGAAAATATAAAAAGGAGCTGAGTGCAGCGGTTCACGCCTGTGGTCCCAGCTACATGGAAGGCTGAGATGGGAGGATCACTTGAGCCCAGGAGTTCAACATTACAGTGAGCTGTGATCATGCCACTGCACTCCAGCCTGGGTGACAAAGTGAGCCCCTGTCTCAAAAAAAAAAAAAAGTCCAGGTGCAGTGGCTCACGGCTGTAATCCCAGCACTTTGGGAGGCCAAGGCGGGTG